AACACCAACTCAACGAATCTATTCCACCAAACATGGAACTTCTCCGTCGCAGTTATTCGGATAGCTGCGTGAGCCTTGATTCGTGTCATTATTCAGGAGGGCTGTTTGCAGGGTAGGATGCAGTGCCGTTTGTATGTCCTTTCATTTTTGTTTAAGATTGAACTACTCATGAGTAGGTAAAACCAAGGCAGTACTGAATGAGGCGGTTGATCAAATGTCAACGGTGGGTGAAGATCTCTGAGGCTTGTTGTCACGTGCAATGTTTACGAAGTAGTGTTGGCTGATTGGTCATGAAATTCTTGTCATTTTCTTTAAACACTCAGGAAACACAGAAGAACGAGGTCGTCATTTCAAATACATCGTACGCGGATGTGAAAGAGGTACTTTTGCACATGTATACACCTGGGGGACGCGACATGTCTGGTAAGTCCATAAAAACTTGTTCCCATTCTGTGATCAGTGTAGTTTTCCGGTTATTCAGAGAATGTGTTTGTCAGTCAAAACAACATCCTGTTTGTAACTGGTTTCATACTATATTCGTTTTGAGTTGAGCACCAGTGATATTCGAGCATGGGATTGTGGTTGAACAGAACGATAGATGGAAGACGTGAAGCGCAGTAAAGTTTGGTCATACCTGTCACACAACCCAAGGATGTGGAGTTGAAGTTCAGCCTAGCTGTCTCTGTTCGTTGAAGAATCTCGTATCAACTGAAACCTGAGACGGGCTTTGATGCTTGAAGCCTTTCAGCTGGGCTGCAGCCGTTAAAACGAAATTACTGTGAAAATAAGAGTAGTTTGCGAATTGTGTGCAATTTGGTTTCAAGTATACTACAGGGGTGATGGAGACTCTGGGACTGCGCCTATGTGATAAGCCCCAAAGAGAGTGAACTAGTCGTGGGCTGTGTCAGCAACTTTCCGAGTAGGGTTACGTCATGAAGATAAAACGTTTTGTTCCGCAGTCCTGTTGAGCTGGACTCAGACGCCTCGAATATGATAACTTTTCATACCTGAATTCAAACGTTCTTATGAACTTCCTCACATCTGGTTTAGTTTACGGATCCGAATACTTTATTTAAATATCATTTTTTTAATTTTCAATTAAATACGATCCAGTCAAATCACTAAGTGTTGTTGCTCGTTGAAAAATCTTTTTGAAGGCAAAAGGTGGTTTAGCGAAAGAGCAGCGAATAACACAACAACCGTGGTCGATTTTAAAGCGCTCAGTCTTCATCATTTTGTTTGGTATGGTCGTAAACCAAAATCTTCGAAGTGTTCAGCTCTCGAAAGCGCATGACTTGTGACATACTGTAGACAACACCGAATTCCAAAAAGAAAATGGACTGGTACATACGAGAGGCTGGAGAGGTGTTGATTGTAAGGTAGACCTGAGTCTACAGGTCTTGTTGGCTTGTTTGCTGAACTGGGCAGTCCGAGTGCAAACGTTCCATCACCAATCGGGTGACATCATCAGTGTGCTGTTAGGGGCTTGGAGTGGAGCGTAGGGATCGCTCAGCGGTTGTGCGCTGAATAGTGGGACGGAGCGGGGGGTGACTAGATCATGGTTGGTTAGTCTGTTATCGTGTGTCCTGATTGGTCGGTGGTCAAGTGACCTTTAAGCTTGGCCTCCTCTACGCTCGGTCTCTGGTCGTTGTTCAGGTGACCTCTGTCACTGATCTCTGTGGGTTCCACTTTGTGACCTTTGTTGCTGTGACTCCAATGGGTTTCCTGTTTCTTGTTTTGTTCATTCGATAGTCGCCTCACTTTTGAGTATGTAGCTGTTACCCAATCTGATTAGTGCATGCGCGTCCACTGTCTCCCTCGTGCTTTGTCTTGTTCCACATCGTTGCAGGTTAACATCACCTACCATTTCATCAGCAGCTACTTTTCTCCTTCGCCAAGAGTCACTCACCAGATCACGCGTCACAAACACTCAAACCACGTGACCTTGCAAGCTCAGGCGACAACATGTGCACTACAACTTTCTATCCATTTTCATTTCCGCGGCTACCACCTGCGTCGTCACACGCCAGACTTACAAACTTCAACCACATCAGGTCAAGTTGTATTCATTTTCGTGCAAGCATCAAAAACGAAGGGACACCCCTCTCTTCACACTGCACACAATATATGGGCATACAACTCGGCCCAACACGCACACACACGTACAGGACAAAAAGTCAACCGAGGTCCACGGCTAACCACGGAACATATGTAGCAGCTTTACTGCAGAGAAGGCGCGTACCATGTCCAGAACTTCACCCAGAAACTCTCAACAGTTGTCCTAAAACGACAAGTCACTTTGAGGCCTACTCCACTTTTCGCACTGTATCTATTTTTATCAAGTGCACCTAACTTTTGTGCTCGCCATCAATTTGTTAAAACAGGCAATTGTTAGTGCTCTAGTTGTAATGTAATTAAGTTGATTATCACAAGGTACCAAGCACTGACAAACGTCTTTTTTGCCAGAATGATACAATAGCTAGATGTTTGCCTATATATTGTGTGCAGTATGAGGAGAGGGGCGTCCCTTCGTGTTTGATGCTCGCAAGAATATGAATACCACTTGACCTGATGTGGTTGAAGTTCGTAAGCTTGGCGTATGACGCGTAAACGAAAATAGATGCGAAGGTGTAGTGTACATGTTGTCCGCTAAGGTTGCACGTGAGACAGGAAATGTCACGTGGTTTGAGTGTTTGTGACGCGTGATCTGATGAGTGACCCTTGGCGAAAGAGAAAAGTAGGTGCTGATGAAATGGTAGGTGATGTTAATCTGCGACGATGTGGAACAAGACAAAGTACGAGGGAGACAGGGGACGCGGATGCACCAATCAGATTGGATAACCGCTACAATTACTGCGGGTGAGGTATCGGTCCTTTTTCACATAGTGGTGTGTCAATTGGATCAATTTCGACGTGTCAGTTGATCGCATCCGTCCTGGTGTACCATACACCTAGAAATTCCCTTTTATTTTTCCACACGACGCGATTTTTACGTTTTCCAGATTGAATTTGTGCCTTTTTCAGTCTTTATGTATGGAGATCAATGATAGAGAGTCATGTTTTCTGATAACCGCGTCGTTATGTTCTAATCGTGTATACGTTTTCATCCCAGTTTATCCGACGGGTAACTTGTTGCAGTCGATTTGGTGTATCACATTGTTTAGGTCATTCAAAGCGACTCTCCGAAATGACATATGATGTTGAGCCTGCCCTGGCAAAACAGTGGCGACACCAGGATGCATCCTCGTATGTTTGGGTGATCGACAGTAGTTTTCGTATGCTTGTTCCCTTAAAGGAAAGTTGACATAACGGAGCTTGGGAATGTCCTCTGATTTTATTCAGATTTGCTTAGCTCACACAGTTAGTCGCACACCCCGCCAACCTCTACAATGTCCACCTTTCCTCCCCGTCAGTTGAATCCGCCGAGAAGTTGCTTCCAATCTTGCACCGCTATCAGATAGACTCCATGGTCAGCTTGGCTGAAAGAACATTGGCCTTTCGGTTGACAGACAGCACGGCTCCCACATGCTTGCAGCTCGCTGACATCTATGGTCTCACTCGACTCAGACAAGCTGCCCTCGAATCCTGTGCTCGCCTCGATTCCGAACGACTCAGTCGGGTATTCCAACAGGTATCACTGAGTGCGGAACTACGCAACGAAATTCTCGAGTAAGTTCATCATGGTGGCTGGACGTGGTACACGATGTAAGGTGACAAGCGTCCATCGACCGGGTGGATTCAGCGTGACTGATAGACTGACGCAATGTACTAAATAAAGTAATAACCCTTGGTCTGTAAAACCCTTTCGGTGCTGTGGATTCAGCGTGACTGATAGACTGACGCAGTTTACCACTATCATATACCTCGATCAGTTCAACCACTTTGACTCGATCTTAATGAAAGATGGCACAAACACTAGGTAGCAGTTTGTAGGGGCATTCAGAAAATTGCCTAGCGGACAGTCTCATCACTACTAGTGGAATTCACGTGAGCATGACAGAGGAAAGGATTAAGCCAAGTTTCAGACCGTCTGCTGATTTCACAATGACGCAGTAAGTGTACTAAATAAAGTAATAACCTTTGGTCTGTAAAACCTTTTCGGTGCTATCGCCGTACTCTAAAGAGGTTTGCGGACCGAGGCACCACCAGAATGTCCAAGCCCACATAGGAGCAGTCCAGATGCCGAGGTTTGGCTGGACCATTCGACCAGTAAGTCCGAACCAAAACCGTTGAGCTATCTCGACACAATAAGGTATAGTCCCCTTCTTGGTGGATTGTAAACAAGACTGGCTAGTTGAAGAACTTAGTTCTATAAGTAAAGTCAGTCTGCAAGATGATTCGAAAATGTTGTCATTCAAGAGGTTGGTCAACAAGTGTTGATCATCAAAGACAGCAACGTCAGTGTTGACAGTAATATTTCAATGTCGCACAAGTACAAAGTTCATCTTATTATATTTAAAGTCTTAGAGCGGAAAGAAGAGAAAAGAAGGGTGTGGGAGGGGAACTGATGCTGGCCCATCGCAAGCATATTGATGTGCTTACATCTCCAAGCCCTTGGTGAGACAATTCAGGAAGAAGATGACGGTACGAAGGCCACTGACATCGACCAGACACAGTCCCTTGCAGTGTCTCCAGTCAAGGAATCACGGGGTAACGACGTGATCACGTGATGGTAGTTTTGTGATTGATGGGTGAGTGGTGATGTTGTGTCCCTTCTGGATGCAAGTGAACCATGATGCTTATAGGCCACTCGTGTCCGAACGGCTTGGCCTTTAACTACCAGTCAAATCACCTAGAAGCGCCGTGCGATGCGCACTACTGATGATCCCTCCATAAGGATAAAAAAGTTCTCAGCACTTACCGGACGATACATCGATCATACAAATTGTACGATCCTGTGCTAAGGCCGTGATACCAAAGCAAGGAACTCGACACAATAAGGTATAGTACGATGATGGTATCCTATCTGACAGGTAACGTGTAGACTAATTCACCTACGGACGGTCAGTAATAATTGCGGCGAAACCGAATTCTACGAACTTCACCTGCGTTTGTTCAGTAGTCGCAACTGGGCAGTGAACAATATATTGAATCAGACGTGGGCAGACAGTATAGATAGGTAGACCGTGGTTCTATATGAACTTAACAGTAAATCGCGGGAGAATTAAAAGAAAGGCTTACGGTTCGGTTGAACCTTGGGCAGTTGGCAACACAGAATGGTACACGAAGGGCAGTGTGCTATCGGACAAATTAAACGGGAAAATTGTTGTTCAGTTCAAAGTGGGACAAATTTTCAACAACAAGCCCAGAAATAAGTGTAAACAAATCGTTTATAGAAAACGGTTGAGGTAGAGTTAACTTTGTATAAAATAGAACGGTTCAGTCATGAAACTTGAGCAGTCACTGGGGTGGGGGTGATGAATTAGCCTGAGTAATAGGGAAACAAATAATTACGTCACGTAATTAACACAAATCATGCCTGTCAATCACAAGCACTATCAGACGAACAAATCTCAGAAGAGGCGGTACGATTGGCGGTTCACAAAAGTTTCCTAATTTTTATGGTATCTATCCAGTTGCGCACCATGGAGCTTCGCCACTTTCCGTGTTAATGGTGCCTTGATTGGGAACACTGCAAGTTTGATGCTGCTAATTTAACAGAAAAATACTAATCCATCGAGTAGAAACTGAGTTTCTTATTCCTCCTTAGCTAGAAGTCTGGGACACTATTCGCCCAAAAGAGACCAACCACCCTGGAGAGCCCATAACGGTATTCTCGTACATTTAGGACTATGCTAGGTTCTCGCCAGATTGATCCCTTTTATCTAACAGAATCTGTAGTCCAACTTTTCAACGTAATTGACCTCGGAGTTTGAAAACTTAAATGTTACACCTATATCCAACCTACCAATACAGTAATTCTGGCCCGTAATCCGACACGTGGGCACCCCAGTATTTAGGTTGCTTCATGCCACGCACCTATTGTGACCAGTCCTAAGGAAACTTTTCTGTGTGTTATCAACAAAACATGGGTCTCAAATAATTAGCTAATGAAGAGACACCGACATGGTGTTTCCACGTATTTTTTCACGGACAATTTTTGAATACTTCAAAACTGTCAGATAGGACAGATCATGAAGCCGTAGAAACTTCGCCGTTACGCGCTGAGTTTGACTTAATCTCTTCCTCCCCGTGCACTGTCTTTTCAGGCGGCGAGTCAACGTGTTGGAGAAGTGTCTGATAGACATACAGAATAGCTTCACTCACTCATGCACTCGTGTCGAGAGTCGGATGGAACGTGTGGCATCAAACCACTGTCCTGAGCACAGCAGACCAATGGCTCCGGTCAACATCGTTCCCTTCCAATTGAGTACGCGGGGTTCCCCACCTAACCAAGGCTCCGCAGATGGCCAGTCTCCAGGTGCTTCCGAGGCCCCCGGAGGACAACCATCGAGTGCGCAACACCGTATGGATGTTGCGGCCAGTATCCTACCCGCAGCTGCAGCCCTGGGTAATGTAACTATGCGACCAGTCAATGATGGACAACAGCCATTGAGTTCCAGCCAATCAAATTTAGCCAACGTCACACCCACCATATCTGGTCAGACCACAGCCGTGTGTGAAAAGTGCGTGGATCAGCTGAAAAATCACGTGATCGAGCTCTGCAAACGTGGACTGCACAAGATACCAATCATTATGTTGAAGAATTCCTGATCGGTATCAGCCCTCCCAACACCCTCATCACCCAAGTTCTCGAACTAGTGACCAGTGATGACTGAATATATATCATAAGAGACATGTGTTGGAACGAGATTTACTCATGACATTTCCAGTTTTACCTGCTCTGTCCTGCCATCAACCTTTGTACTTGAAAGCGGTCGTTTATGAGGTCCTGTATGGGACTAAGCATGAACAATAGAATTCACAATGCAGAACTACCACCGCAGCTTAAATACACTATTATATTTCTAGTGGTCTTTATTAAACGGACAATTGGTTGAATGAGAGCAACAAGTGTCGTTCAATGCGCGCACCTTTTCTGTCTACACTGCCGTTCTTACCTGTCTTGAATGAGCGGATTGGGTGTCATTCAGTGCGCGCACCTTTTCTCTCTAGACTGCCGTTCTCACCTGTCTTGAATGAGCGGATTGATGTAGTGATTACACCTCATGGACAGCAAACTTTAAAACAGAATGAGGCGACCTTAACTGGTTGCATGCATTGGTTGATTCGTATGAGACCTGTGGTCTCAAGCTGAAATGTCTTGGTAATCCGTCTCCAAGGTCTAGTGCCCAGGGAGGTAAAACTCGTTCCCAACTGAATCTGTCGTTTGTAGTATTCCCCAGCCAAATGGAAACGCTGATTGGCGTTTCACTTGGCGCGGTATTTGAGACACCGTAGTATACTTTTTTCTGAAGCGATATTACTGAAGATTCGTCAATAGCCCATGACTGGTTTCGCCCTTCTTTTGGGGATCATCGGGTAAGCACAGTCTCTGATTTTTCGTCACCCTTGTGTGCTACATGAAGCCAAATCGAACGAAATTCGCAAAATCAACTCATCTGCGTACCACTATGATAAGCCCAAACAAGGGAGAAACTGGTGGTCATGATCTGTTCCCTTCTGAGGAAGACATGCCTTCTCAAGGTAAAAGTGCTTCCCACAAAAGGGTGGTTGGCCAATCGGCGATGCTGGTCTTCAGTGGTTTCCGCTTCCGTCTATTCATCTTAAGTCGATCTCAAAACTACGATACAACCTGATTTGCAGCTTTGTGAAATCATAGTTCTATCCGAATGACTGGAATATTCAAATTACTTGTTTCCCACTATCAGGAAGGTCAGATTCTTGAAAGCAACTTCAGAACGCCCGGAACCTACTGCTCCACCAAAAACTCAACAGGAAAGCCGGCAAGCCTCCAGGCCAGTCAATCATTCAATCAATTCAGAAAAACCTGATGAGTGTTCTTGCGCGCCACAGAAGCACGACCGAATGTGATCAGCATTCAGGCTTTTTCACAGAGGCACGATCGATGTTGATGGGTGTTCACTAGCACCTATCAGACAGCCTGGATCAATGTCAGAAAGTCCCCTTTAAATAGCGTGGGGCCGTTTTATCCTTTGCTCCCGCCCTCGCACGCACTCACGCTTTCGCACTTGCTTGTTCGGAATATAGCTTTCTCTTTCTCTCCGACACTAGGCACTGCAGCTGGTCAGCAGCAGATACCACAGATTGACGAATCAGCAGGTATAACACCCACACACCAAGCTTCCTCACCCTGCGACATCAAACTATATGCTGCGCAAGAAAATTTACTTTAAACTACTTGATTCTGATATGGAAGCAGCTTGAAGCCTTCCCACCCCGTTCGTCGGGTGCCTGATCGGAATCAGGTTCTACATTGTGTACTTCGAAACATCTGAGATAAACTGATTGTAAGCAATGAGATAGGCAGCATAGTTCACTGCCGTTCAATCGGAGGTTGATTATACCTGTCGATGTGCCTCACTAGGTTGACTAGAAATCTGACAATGGCGGAGAGATTGTCCAAGGTGCGTCGTGAAGATGACTTGCACCAGTGATTTCGAGAATTTTTGAGGTGAAACAATAAATCAGCTGTCAGAATGATAACAAAATATGCGTGAAAGGTGATTTCTCTCCCTCTCGCTATGGCATTAATGAAATGAACAAAATCTGTCAAAACTGCGGGCAAACTGTAATCTGGTTAGAACGGGAAATCAATAGATCAGATTGACAAAAATCGGTGTGAGGTCGGCGAACCACGTGAGTCAAATGGCTGTTCGGTCACGTGAGGACCGAATTCTGTACAAAACATTCCGCCACACAAAGTTTGGGCTTGAACATACGGATACCAGATGTTTCTGCAATAGAAAGGTCAACGATGAATGTCTATAAAAATCGAGCAGAGTTGTCTTGTGGTGCCCGAAAAAATTCTCCAACGTTTGCAGTGGGTCGAGGACATTCAATGCGAACCAGATGCGGTAACAGTGAAATTGCCGGCATTTTCGTCGGCATATTCAGGACGGTTCTTTCGGAGTTGGGGTAACTGAGTCAAATGTGGACGACCTACAATTAGAACTCTCCTCTCTACCAGCTCAGTTGACGAAACTTAAGCTGACCGGCATTCCGCGCCGATCATTTTATGGGTCGTTGGTCGAAGGTGGAAACCATCCGGGATATCTTCGGAGCCGACGCACTGTCACGCGGAATACCACCACCATCAAGTAGATTAAATCCTGCAGTCCAAGCTAATCCTGGTGAATTGAATCGTGCCAATATAATGAGAGACCTGTTCATTCAAAGAGGACGAATCGTTGATCCAAAGAGAGAGTGAGTACCAACCACCGTCGGGATCATGCTCTCCAAATACACACTAACTAGAACAGCATTCTTATGCTATAGTTGCGGTTATTTCCAGAGTTATTTCAAGCAAAAAAAAATCCCAGTACTAATCCGTCTCCAACCATCATGACTGATTGTTCTGACGGAACCGGTTGCGAGCATAGAGAAAAAAGTTGTGAGGGGAATACGGTGCCCAGGCTTGCGTAAATATGATGTTCTCCCCACTCGATTTATGACACGGTGTTCATACTGTGTTTAGCTGAATTTGACTGCGTTCATAATGAGACGTGTCCTGTCAAATCTGTCTCCAGGTAGATTTTCATCTCGGATGAATGCTACAGCTGTTCGCTCTGAAATCGCAAAAACGAGCGACAAGGGGTATGAAAAGGACGCATTTTTATTTGATTCTCAACCACTGTTAGTTGCTGAAGAAGTAGTAAGTTAAGCGAAATTCTCTGGTAATTATTTTCATTGCACAGAAAAAAGAAGGAATTAAATTTCCGAAAGCCACAGAATTCAATATTTTTACGGGTTGGCCGTTAAGGACTGCATTTGTATGTAATACCCTGCAAATATATGATGTTAGATGGTGAACACTAAGCTGGAATCAAAGAGTTCAGGTAATACCCACACCGAACTGTCTCGCGCTTTCTAAAGTGGCGAGATTATGAATGGCTTGAAGATGTGGTCAACGACGTCGGTGGTTTTTTAAACCTACTGCTGATAAACTATAAGTAGCTTAGAACGAATAAGAATAATCTACACAACGAGTGAGCAATCGATCTGAGGTGTCGTTACTTGAGGAATCGGTCAATATGTGACCATGTGAGGGGAATTCCGTAGCTTAGGAGTATGTACTACTTATCAGCCGAACGGCAACCTCCCTCTACTCGCGGGAGGTTACGAGCTCGAATTTTGCTGAGAAGGCCCAGTACTGATGATACCATGAAAGAATGAAAGTTTTTCGATGCCTCTTGTTTTTTCGGCTTTACCGAAAGAGTGTAATCTTCACCGATACACTTCTGCTAAACATTTGGAATGGACTTTCTTGAAGTTGGAACAGAAACCAATATTTCGAGCTGTTCTGTGTGCGAGAATGCAGGGGATATCGTTACAAACATCTCAGGTAATCCGAGGCTTTCATAATAAACCG